CCCCGCCGCCCGCCCGGCCCTCGGAGCCTGCCTATGGCTATGCACCTCCACAGGGCCGCTACCAGGACCCCTACTACGGGGGGTACGGGGGCAGGAACGGCTCCGAAGCGCCCTATGTGCCGCAGAGCACCTGGAAGGCTGAGCCAGCGTATCCTGCCAGTAACACCGTCGGCCAGGCTCCTCCTGGGCTCTACCAGCCGCCCGGCACGAAGAAGACCTACATCACTGACCCGGTGCTGGCCCCGCAGCCGCCTGCCATGCAGCAAAAGGTAGGAGATGCGGATGCTCGCCGGCCTCCCTGGGGGAGCAGAGAGCCGCATGGCTGAACGTGCCCCGGGAGCCTTCCTGAAAGGTGGTGGGGGGGAGTGTTAAACAGTGCCTGTCAGGGCTTGGGGCAAGTCTCCCTCCACATGGCTTCTTAAAAGCTGGAAATAGGGAACTCTCATCTGGTTTGAAAAGAGGCTTTTGTGGGGGGCTCAGAAACGCTGTCAGCCTTGAAGGGCGAGACGGTGCCACGTGCGGAGGCGTGGTGTCAACCTGCGGGCAGGAGGGAGGTTTCGTCCCTCTGACGTGACGTTACCCTAGGAGCTCGCTGGCCGTACCTCTCTACAGCATCGCTGCGCTTGGGTTTTTCCTTCCAGGCCCTCCCAAGATCAACCGAGAGGTTGGGTATGAGCTTTTCCTCCGTGTGCCTGTGGACACCTCTGTGCTACCGGTCAAATCCTTCCTCTTCTCAGGCAGATAGGAGATACACGAGAGGCTGGTTTTGATTGTGGTTCAGAGCGATTGCGGAGGTTGACCTCTGGTGTGTCGCTGTTCAAAAATCACTTGTCACTGAAACCACATGGAAATGAGTTCCCACAGAGCTCAGCTCTGATTTTCCTCTCAGGTGATGGTACGGCGGGTGGCCTCCATCCACTTGAACCGGTGCCCAGACCTCATAAAACGAAGCCGATTTGAGGTAGCAAGTTAAACTGGTCTGCCTGGTTTCTCTGCCCAAACTTTGACCCTGGCTGGCTTTTGTCACTTCTGCTGGTGGCTGTCTCAAATGTGGCTCTGGGCGGGGGGCCGGAGCTTTAGCTTTGTGGGGTCCTCATAGTGTATGACGGGCTTAGGCTCCACCGAAGGGCGAGGATGGCCAAGCCCAGGCGGGGAGGCAGTGAACCCATCGCTGCCCAGGCCCAGCCTGGCTCGTCTCAGTATGTCCCTGCTCTTCAGCTTGTGGGTGCTCACAGGGAAAGGGGAAAAAGCTTCTGACACATAACAGAAAGTCTGTCCTCTTGGCATTTCCTTCACTAGAAGCACACAGACTGTTTTCCCTGAATTCCACGTTTCCTGACAGTGGGAACTTTTGAAGGCAAAGATGTTTCTCCAGGCAGTTTAAAGAGGGCAATAAATTACAGAAGTCCTTGAAATATTATCTACTAGCAGCTAACAAACTGCTTTTTCTCTTTTCTTCCCCTTCCTTACCAAGAAGCTAGGAGTGGGGAGAGAAGTAATAAACTCTCAGCTCTGCAGGTACTTGGTATAGAGCTCAGATTGGAAAGTAGTGAAAGACACAAAATTTGCACATAGCCTTAACTCGTGTAAATTGCTGTGGTTCCAGTGGAGTCACTGAGGAAGTGCTGAGGTACAGCAGATCCATATTTAGACTTTTATAGATACAAGTAAGCTTGTATATATAAAAAATTTAAAAACTTTAGTTCAGTCAGCATCTCTATGGAAACACAAATCATCTCAAACCATAAAGAGCACAAGCCTGTTAGTCTCATTTGCATTACAAAGCTGGAGGGACAATTTAATTTAGCTCAAGTTTGGGGTTTCATGTATGCATATATATATATTTTTTTATATATATGTTTGTGCATGTGCACGTGGCATTTGCAAATATGCATGCAGAAATACTTCATATATATGTCTCTCAAAATAATTTCAGTTCTTCTGCAAAACAGACTATTACCTGCTTGGTGATAAATCCCTCCAGAACTTTCATTCCCTTCAAGCCTGCTAAATATCTGCATTATTACCTATTTCACTTTTGAACTTACAACTCTTCTCTGACATACTGGCAGCAGACTCTGCTTGACTGCTGCTTCGTAACATACATAGTTTAATTGGTGAAGAATTGAAGGTGATCTTACAGTCTAACGGAAATGCTCAGTAATAAAACACTGTATGCTTTGCCAATGGAGCAGTGTTGTCCAGTTCTACTGCATGCTGTTCTCTTCCTTTGCAGACTCACTCATTCATAAAATCAACTTTTGGAATGATTTTATTTAAAGAGGAAAAAAAGGAACGCTATGTTAGAGCCAGGTATCTGATAGGGAGAATTGTCACTGTAATTTGACTTACTGGCTACAATGTGAATTTTAATGTATTTTCCTACACACAGCTGGCTTCTGCATTTTGTTGTGTTTTGCCTTTTCAAGGTTGGTTTGAGGCCTTTCAGTTAAGGAAATTGATTTGAGAAGCCAGGGCAAGGAGCAGGCATTAATACGTATCACATAAAATGCAAAAAGACCTTTAAGAATTTCTCTTCTTGCAAAGGAATGATCTTAAAATACAAAACAATTTCTAAATGTATTCAGAAAAGTGCATTCTTAACTTTGAACACACTTTGTGTGCAAAATATTAAGGATGTTGTAACAAATCCATCTCAGATTAGAAGCTCATGATCCTTAATTCTAATACGTACCATGATCCATCACTGTGAGAGGTAGAATTTTTCATTAAATTTGTTCAGGGTTTTTAAAGGGTAAAAAAAAAAAAAAAAAGGATCTCTATTTTGCATTCTGGCTAGGAAGAGGTTCGTGGTACTGTGGCTCTGTTTTTTGCTGTGTACTAATCGTGTTGAAGTCGCTGCTGATCCAAAATAAATCTGGATTGGTATGGGAACAGCAAATAATCTGTACTGGTTCTTAAAGCCCACTGAGAACAATGAGTTTTACTCACACACAACACCGCGTTGCATTCTGTCCTTGGGCCAGTTATGGAAGAGAGAGTCATGCATGTGAAACCTCTGTGCATTTTAGTCTTTTGTAGCACCCTGTCTAGCATTAATGCCCAAGTCCTAGTTAGGAAATGAACTGGTGAAGTGTGTGCCCTCATTTAAAACTTCATGTGCTTCAAGGGCATTACTGGCCAAAAACTGCAGGAGCTTTCTCCTCTGGATGGTAGATGGTGGGAATTTCTGTAGGAGCAGCAGCGGAGCTGTCATGAGACCATCACAGAAACATGTGAAACAACTGGCTGCTCTTGTGGTTTTTGCCAGTGGTGCTGTGCCCACTCAGACGAAGTCAAAGTCTGAAGCCTCTCCCTTAACTTCTTCTCTCCCAAAAGGCCAGAGAGCACATGACCAGGGTGCCTTATTAGGTATGCTGATCTGTGGCACCAAGGTGTCCACAGTAGAAAACAAAAATCACAAAGCCAGTTTCTGACTTGGAGAATTCCTGCCAGTTAGCCCTATGGCCAAAGCAGAGTTGAGAAAACTCCCACCACTGACCAGCTCAGCTATCATCAAATGTTTCTCTGCTGGACTGGCTAAGATACCGAATACCCTTGTCGAGCTCTTATATCTCCAAATAGATCTAGGTCCTTTCACTGTTTTTGGTCATGTTTGAGTGTTTTTGAGGCACTATTGCATGTCTCCCAGGTGGCTTTGTGGACTTTTCAGGGACCTCACGTGGCTCCTGGTGTATTTGAGGGGTGGCCGCTGTAGACACCTGGGAGGTCTGTCCTTCCTAGCTCTCGGATCCCTTGTATTCTCCTTCCTCTTTCTGAATCTACTCATAGGCCTGGGGAACCACATTCCCTCCCAAAGGGACCTGCCCATTTTCGGCATCCAGAGTGGGTGCCACTGAAATCACTTGAGACAGCTTGTGGTCTTGGTCCAGAAAGGTGGAAATCTTAACAAAAACAATGATCTCTTGAGAGCGATCTGCCGATTTGGGAAGGACAAAAGTGTCTTGTAGCTCTGATTTAGTACAGCATCGAAATCCATGCTCCTTTGCTGCAGATTTGCTGGAAGGAGGAGGGGAGTAGTGTCCCTTTGCTAGCTGTGTGTGTTCTCACTAACATGGCACGAGTGTACGAGTTCCCTAACAAGCTTAGCCCACACCAGCCACGAGTCCCGTTGTCCCTATCTACACAGATAAAGGCATTGGTGCATATGGAGCATGACCTCCTCTTCAGACAGCCCTTCAGTGTTGTGCGCTGCTCTAGGTGAGCACTGTGGAAATTAAGTGGGGAGACAATTGGAAATTGGGAGGTAAAATTAACGAGGCGGCTTATGCGTTTGTCATGGTTTACGTGGTGGTGGCCGCTCGTGATTAGCAGACCTCAACCACCGCATCGTTTCCGCACTGCTGGAGGTGGTGTTTCTTTGCTGCCTGCTGTAACCAGCATCGACACGGTCTCATGAAACTTGCAGTGCCCAAAAGGGGACTGTGACGGCTCGCTGTTTTCTCATTTTACACAGCTTTTGTCAGTTTTTCCACTGATTTAATACCTGTGATGGAGACATTCGCTTGGAAGTTTCATCTTTGCCTCAGAAACATCTGCTCACCAGTGTTCTTTGCTATGACTGATGCACTTCTCTTGTACTGGTTTAATAATTTTTACAGTCTGCCATCACTCACATAAAGTAGATACCTCCGGCACTTGCGTTTGAACTGAGACTAATGCTCTTGCTGTTTGCTGTTAATCTAGTGACTAGGAATTTTTTGTTCTCTGCAGATGAATAACTGCAATCTGCCAGATTCCCTCCTGCTGTCACAGGGATATATTCTTCCTTAGTGTTGCTTTTTGCTTGTGCAGAAAGGCAGGCAGCTTGCTGTACACTGCCTGCCTCTCCCTGAATGTCTTCTCCCCTAAAATCTCCTATTTCCACCCAAGTGTCCTCTTCCCAAAAGTCGCATATCGAAAATTTTCACTGGATGCAATTCAGACATGGTATAAAATGATGGTTGAAGTTGGTTTTCTGTTACTGTGAGACAGTGGCTTCCCATAGTTTTAAAATGCTAAAATAAAGCAAAACCAAGTAAAATTAAAAAGGCTTATTTAAAATATTCGACTTTGGCATTTAATGATTTAAAAAAGAAAACTAATGAAATTTAATGAATTTAAAAAGACAGAAAATGAAATAAAAGGTGAAATTCCGAAACTCAGTGTTGAATTTGCGATTTCAACGTGACATTTCAAAATTTCCAGATGAATATGCAGTTCCTTTCTACCCTGAGAATAGCAACAAATGTCAAAATGTTGACATTCT